CCTTCAAAGCGGATGAAACCTTTGCTGCTGTTGCAGAGAAATTGTGTTTAGAGCTCAGAGGATGCTTGTCTCAGCATGGCTTTTCCCCGTTTCCCTCAGACAGAGAGAACACATTGAAAGGCCAAATTGTAGCAGCAAAGTCTGCGGACAACCCCATCCGCAAGGTCATTGGTAAGCGCAGCCCTCTATGGAGAACTTGTGCTTTGACAACCCAAAAAGCAGTTATGATTCCATTTAGAAGTGAAGTCTTATCTAAAACTGTATTTTTTCTATTAGACTCCCGGATCCAGGCGTACCTTCTTGGCTTCCTGGAGTCAAGCGCCCACCGGAGCGCCCCAGCTCTCCCTGGAGGTCTGACGCCCATCAGCAAAGAGTTAGAGGAGATTGCTGTCAAACTGGAACGTTTGGTGACCTTCAACAAGCTAGTTTACTCTCCGTTCTATCAGAAGATCCTCCAAGACATTCTGAAACAAAGGGAAGGTTTAGATGTGTGAACAAAACACATGAAATACTTGCCACTAGTCATCCTGGCTTTCACATTCTGTAGCTATATATACGGATTATAGTGTCTATAAACTTGCCAATTTACCCCTCAAAGCTCACACGCTAGCACTAATGGATATTTAAGAATTAACACTCCTAAGGTCCTCTCATTGCATTGCATTGTATATCAGGGAATATTTGTGAATGTATCAAAGTATTTGATTTGCCTAAAGCTTGGATTACTTTAGGCAGTGACTGATAGAATAGTGAACTGAAATGTAGGAGAACCTTGTGAATACTGTTAGTGTGCAACAAAATATTAAAAAACACATTTGCATTTTACAAAAGATTAGGAGCAGTTTTCAAACATTTGCTGTTGTAGCCCGAACCCTTCGGCAAAGGTGTTATTGAGGTTTCTGGCTCGTTTTGGATAAATCTGAGGTAAAGGATGTGTATTTGACTGGTGCCTTAGTTTGTGAAGTGCCACCCATGTTTATGTGCACAATGGTCATTTTAATCTTCAGATTATCCCCATGTTGTTCCGACAGTTATGAGAGCATGTTCTTTTTAAATAATTCCTGATTTATTTATTTTTTAAAGAACAATGTTTCTATCAACATTGAGCATGTTTTACAGAAGACACCTTGTCCTCACAAGTAAATGTATTCCCCACTGCACTTCTCTATGTTCTACTTTCATAAACTTCTATGGCGTGTCTTATTAATGCAGTATTACTAATGGTTATTTGAAACTGAATGCTGGCTGTCAATAAAAACACGAGGTGTGTAGAAAACATTGCTGACTGGATTTACTGTTTTTTTTCTTCTACCATTTATCTAATTCACATGACATTATGTATTTTATTATATTAAAGGTTCATTTATTACATTGTTTTATATATTTTTAATACTACAGTAGTCGAAATCGAAAAAGTTCATCAAAGTCGTCCTAAGATTGTTCCAAATTCATGTATTAACTTTGATGAAAGGTTTTGATCCACTTCAAATGTTGACTACTGTATTTTGGTAACGCATTACAATAAGGTTACATTTGTTACCATTAGTTAACCTGTTAACTGTCACCCCCCTTTTTTTTGCATAGACATAAAAATCACTATCCAAACTTAAATGGTTGTAATTCAGGAATGCTTTGGAATATAGACCTATGGCTGGTCTTGTTTTAAAGAAGACATTTTCCAGATTATTGTAGAAGTCTAGAAATGATAAAAAATGAAACAGAAAAAAACTTTTTTAAGTTTGAGTTTATGAAATTGTGTAATGTAAAAATATAAGTATTAATATTTTATATAAATTATATATATTACAAAATATATTTTACTCTAAAACAGCAAGAAAATTAAAGACAAAAATCTGAACAAGTTGTATTCCAAATTTTAGGTTGATATCTAAAAAAATGAGCTTTCAGTAAGATTTTATTTGGGCGCAGTACCCAACTTTTTCACTAGACTCCGTTACTGCCCATATAAGGGCGCCTCCATTTTCATATGTGTTTTGAGTGATCTGAACCATGTATTTCCATAATTTTCATACAATTTATGAAGTAGACATCCTATTCAGAAGTAGTATGGGTGGTTTGGCAGTATTTGATTTGAATTCAACCTCTAATAAATGCATAAAAAGACTACGTTATAGCGTTATAGCTCGCAGCCAATCAGAAATCGAGAATCCATACATTTTTCTTTATATTTAAAACATTTTCAGACCTTTTTTTTCTCATAAAATGGAATTGGTGTTATCTTTTGAACTCATGGCATGAAAAAAAACTGAGGTTTCTACCAATCTTTCATGATTTTTCGTGTTTATTGTTATTTCAAAATAAAGGCCTAAATACTCCTAATGCATATGAAATATTCTTGTTGCAAATTGATAAATTACTGCTCCTCTGTAATTTATTTTAGATAACAGCCACCAAATATGAAAACTAGAGATTTTAAGCTTTCAAATGATATATAGTTTGGCAATATTACTTTAGGTTTTTATTAAGATATTATTGTTTTAAACATGCAATGGCAAATGGCAGGTTAAGAGGTTAACATGAACTAACACTAAATAATTCCTCTAAAGAATTTAATAAACTTAGTTAATATTAAATTCAACATTTATAAATACATTATATAAATACATATCTGCATGGGAGGCGGTGAAATCCATGATGGGGATGCATTCTAGAAAAACGTAATATTTCTCTTGATGGGAAGCTTGATTTCGATCTTTCTAATGATCTAAATGTTTTTATCGTTTTAATAGTCATAATTTTAGTCAGGAATTGGCAGTTTTTAATAATGCTAGGGTTAATGTTAATAAGGATATGGTTTTAAAACTTTTTCGAGGTGTAAGAGAGAGGAAAAGTCCTGGACCGGATGGTATTGGAGGCCGTATTCTTAAAAATTGTGCGGAACAACTGGCAGATATTTTTTTGTTTCATTTTTAAAATGTCATTGAGTCTTCATAGTTCATAAGGTTCCTCGTCTTTGGAAGGAGTCTATAATTGTACCTGTGCCTAATGTACCAAAATCTTTAAATGAGTACAGGCCAGTAGCACTTAGGTCTCTGATAATGAAAAGATTTGAGAGGATTGTGAAGGATGCGCTTCTGACCACGGTACAGGCAAATCTAGATCCGCTTCAGTTTGCCTAGGTCAGGCAGGGGTGTTGATGATGCGATATGTACTCTATTAAACATGATTTTGGCACACCTTGAGGGCGCAAAAACCTGTGTACGTTTGGTCTTCATTGATTTTCCATCAGCCTTTAATTGTATCCAACCTCATATCCTAGCAGAACGGTTAAAGAGTGTCCATAATATTGATTTTGGATTGATATATTGGCTGATGGATTTTTTAACCAATAGGTCTCAACGTGTGAAGGTAAATGGTGTTTTATCTGATGTACTCTTTTCTTCTACTGGGTCACCGCAAGGATGTGTTCTTTCACCTTCTTAATAATGAGGATCCTGATCCTGTATTGGCAGATTTTACTGATTGGTGTAAATTGTCCCTTTTGGTATCAATGTAAAACTAGAGATTTTAGGAAGAATCGTAAAGCCATCTCTCCTGTGGCTATTAATGATCATGGTGTTGAGATTGTACATCAATTTAAATACCTTGGTACTGTAATAGATGAAAAGTTGCCTTTTGAGGCTCATGTTGATGCTGTGTAAGAAAGCCCACCAGCGTATGTATTTTTTACGGAAACTTTGTGGTTTTAATGTGGACGGTATACTTTTATGAAAATGTTTTATTCTTGTTTTATTGAGTCTGTTATTACTTTTTCATTTGTGTGCTGGTATGGATCACTTAATCTTAAAAACAGAAATAGATTACAGGGTACTGTTAAAGTGTAGTAAGATTGTTGGCACCACCCTGAATGATTTGAATAGTTTGTATAAAGCCAGGACAGGAAGGCCGTGTTAATGATGAGAGATTACAGCCATCCTTTGCAGAATCTTTTAAAGTTGTTACCTTCTACTCACAGATATTTTTTTACCACTTTGTAGGACTAACAGATTTAAAAATTCTTTGGTACCAGCTGCCATTGGTTTTCTAAATTATTTTAGAGTAATTAATTAAGGAAGTCTTTTTTATTTTTATTTTATTTTATATATATATATATATACTGTTGTGTGTTTGTTTTTTTGTTGATTGTATGGATTACTGCTGGCTGTAAAACAAATTGGCCCTTGGGGATAACAAAGTTGACCTAACCTAACCTTATTAAAAGCAAAAGTTGTATCTGTTCATATTTAATGGATCTCAACATGATTGGACAATGAACAGTTGTATTTTTATTAACTAATGTTAACAAAGATTAATAAATACTGTAACAAGTGTAATGCTAATTCTTAGTTAATGCATTCACTTATGTGATCCTATTGTAAAGTGTTACCACCACTACTTTTAAGTTATCAATTATTATTAAAATATTAGATGTATTTCAGCAGTTTTATATATTAGCATTTTTAAATGAAATGAAATGTGAAAACACCACTTGAAGATATACTATCAAAATATTTAATTATGTAAAATATTTCCATACAGTATATAATACATATTACATAGGCTATAATATTTATATAATATTTCGTTTTATCTATATATTGTATTTACATTACTAGGCTTATTGTTACATTGTTTTATTGTGAACAATATATTATGTTTATATCATCAATTAGTATTGTAATATTAGATTAATTTTTAGCAGTTTTAAGTTAAATTGAATGTTTTCATTCTGGGAAAAAAAACACTGTTTAGGATATAATTTATCAAAAATAATTATTATATATAAAATATGTAAATTATTCTATTGCACAATATTCCATTTAAATATTTACATTTTAGAACATCTTTCAGATCCCACCTGACGGGGTCACTATTTAGCAGACCTGTGTCCTCCCTTCTCACTTCCGTGGGCGTTTCATGTTGTGGTTGTGTGTGTGTGTTGACTCTCCAGCCCTGTCCATGGCAGTAATGCTTCACACCAGTTCTGAATCACCTCACCGACACGCGCAGGAAGAAGCAGCGCGAGAGTGTTCTCGAGCGCTCAGCTGAGAGAGCTCGAGCGAGTTAGTTGAGCTGATAGAGTTTGTCCGTCGCCGTCAGGAGGAAACAAACCAGGGGGGCTTAAACGTCCTCGACATGACGACAAAAACCTCCCCTGACCGAAACGGATATCCTTAACTCTACGCTGGACCCTGTTCGGTTCCCGTGGATGGCTTAGTATGCGAGTTGTGCGCAGTTGAAATGAGGGAGCTTGTATTTTTTTCTCCCTCGTCGTCCAGCGAGAGGACAAGATGGCAGCGCGAGCGCGTCGAGCATGCAGTGGGTGCGAATTAAACCCCAACATGTTCACTAAAGATACGCGTTTCGACCACGGCTGCTGTCTGTGAAGGTAAGGAAGATTTTAACGAGTTGTAAAGGCGTAAATGCGTGTCTGATACTTAATAGTGAAGATATTAAATCAGGCTTGACTTCGGAGGAGTGATCGCGAGCTCGTAGTTGTTGCGAAAAAGTTGCCACGCCACACCAAAAACTTGAAAGCAATGTTTCGCAGGGTTTGCTAATGTGTTTTGGTAGCTGGCAAGTTTATGGTTTTAATAAAAAAACAAACTTTTTATTGTTTCCCTGATAACTTTTAAACGTTAAATGTTCGCGAAGACTTTCTGGTCACCAGCCAAACCCATAATATTTAACTTACCTAAATCCTGCTGCTTAAAACCATGACGTAAAGATTTTCATTTGCTGTTTTTAACCTTTAAACATTAAACATTCAAGCGTCAGTGCATATGAATTGTGGGTTAGTTTTCCGTATAAACTCGCCAGCTGTTGATCTTGTACTATAATCAAGTGACATGTTGCTCAATCCTCCCAAAATGCACAGGCCTGGTAATCTGTTAGTAGCTGACTTCTCTTTTTTCTGTAATTTGACACTATGCTGGTAAGATTAAGCAAAAGTTGTACCTAAAAAAAAAAAACCTTTTATGTAAAAAGTTGAATTTCCTGTCCTTGAAAGGTAAATCACCATGCATTTCCTATATTTGCTCAGTAATACATTTTAAACAATTATTTGATATTTAACCTTAACAATGCTTATTTAATGTATATTTTTTGCCAGGGGAAGTTTTCGTACTTTCTAGTGCTTCATTGAGTTCCCACAGTTGTTGATGATGAAATATAGGGGAGTTGTGGAAAGTGAGCTGGAAGTTAGTGAATATAATCAGCTGTAAAATATTTTATTGGTTAGAACATTTTATTATTCTAGTGCACAAGTATATATTTTATTTTGAGTTATACTTTATTTTTACAGTGTCCTACCTACACATTACATCTAGTTACTATAGTAATAATAACTATAAATTATGCTTAATTACATGCAACCCCTACAACAAACCTAATCCTAACCACAACCCTATTGTAAGTACATGTAGTTAATTAATATTACTCAATACTTCAATGTATAATTACACTGTATCAAGGACACCTTAAAATAAAGTGTAACCCTTTTTTTAAACTTGTAAATGACTGGAAGAATGATGGAAAAGTATGGAAATTAATTTCCTTATTCGTTATAAAAACACACAGAACATTCATGGTTATGCCATAAAAACGTTGTTGCATTTTATTAAATGTGTATTACAATATAATGAAGTTGGTTGTCATTTTATGTCATAGATTATAAGTTCCTCATTGTTATTACTATCACTTTACATCACTGGAAAAAAAGATTGTATGTCAATTCAGTGAAGTTTACTTCCTAATCTTTTCCTGTCATTAAACTTTTATAGCCCGAGCAGTTGCAGAGTCAACAGGTGTTTTCCCTGTGCCATCTCTCGCCCACCCCCATTAGGTTTTGAGATGGTAAAAGGTCAGTTTCCACCTGCTTATAGCAGAAGGCAGCGTGTTTGAAAACAGTAGAGAGACTGTAACCCAAAACCTTGGCCACTCCTATCTACTCAAGGCTTACCCTTCTATAAGGACAGACCTCATATACACAGTCCTCCAGATGGGACTGTCCTTTTTAAAGTTGTTGACTGAATCTCTTACTTTGCGAACCTAATGTTGTTTGCACAATTAGGAAGTAGGAACCAGTGTAGACTTAATCGCAACCGAAAGGGATGATTTAAACCTTGATTTTGCTATGGTAGTGTGAATGAATAAGGGCCTTTTATAACGGTTCTGGAATCGAAATGCATCAGATATGCATTCCTCAAGAAGCAACGTGATATGTTTGCATCCCTTTTATGTTTTCTAGCCTCAATATTTGCCTTTATGAAATCCTACCTAGTCTGCCAGAGTGTTAGCTGGGTAATAAGTGTGTGAGAGAGTTAGTATGTGGGTGTGTTAGAGCCACACCTGTCCTCATGTCTGAACTTGTGCCATATGTTGTGCCAGTATAAGTAGCCTGTCTCCCATGAAACTAAGACAGCTAATCCCCATTGGTCAATTGTCTGTCTGGATCTACTAACATATTACCCACACTATGGCACACTAGGGCTGAACGATTAATTGAAGAAAAAAAAATTCGGAATTTGGCTTATTTCGTTAATCAAATTGCTTTAACTGCAATTTAGCCTACTTAAATGTATCCACGTGTTTCAGAGTGAAGCTCAGCATTGTTCATTGTCACTGTAGCAGCTGATAAGTGTTTTTTAGTTTCTCAGTTCACACAGTAAATGCTACTTCACACAATCTCCATCTCTGCCAGTGATGCGAGTTTGCATCGCTTATAATGTGCATAAGAGTTTCTAAACCTGTTGCCAACAAACGAGAAACTGCAGTTTGCACCCGGAATAAAAGCTCAGTTGTTTAAAGTTTGAAAAAGATCAAATTAAGGCAGAAATATTAGTATTGTAATTTTACAGTTGAACTGTATAAAAATCATATTTTCTTGCTCTTTTTACAGTAATATTTCTTATTGTTTCATATTTAACTAGAGTAATTTATAATTATAGTATTTATAATATATATCAATGGTCTGGTTTTTGGTCTGGTTCTCAAGGGCACACTTATCCTCTCCTCACTATAACACTATTTGTTCACTGTAGAAATTAAATATAGGTTCAACTTCAAGCTCTATTTTTTTATTTTATTAACATTGATGACAGACAACAGCAGGAATATAAGGGTGTTGTCACTTTAAGACTGGCTTACCCTTACTTTAAGACTGAATGCACAGACCGAATATACTGACACATCCGGTTTCTTAACTCTTATGACATAACCGAGAGAGAACTTGCAGAGATGGGTATATTTTTACATAAATTTGTGTCCATTCAAGCACGAATAAACGCGAAAGATGAATCAATTCTCTTTGTTTGAGCGCTGTCTGAAACGCGCCTCTCTCTCTCTCTCTGCGTTCGGCTATGCGCACAGATAACAGCACGCGAGTCCTAATTTTCACCCCTTTTTTGCGTTTAAAATCGTTTGAATGTGTATATTGGCAAGACATAACCCGTTCAAATGATAAACTTTCACTCTGATGGTTAGACTTAGCAGTTCACATCACATATTGCGTGCTGAACCGCTGCACCTCTATTAACAACTAATAATTAATGAACACGCTTATCATCATGATTGCTATCTTACCAAAGATGGAGAAAAATCCTACTGGTAAGTAAACGTGTCCTTTTCCCCCAAAAATGTTGGTACTCAAAAGTGCTTTCCTCCATGTTTTCTGCTGCGCATAGTTTATTTTTACCATGCAAGCGCACCAGTTATGTGCACCCCTGTATATAATCACACAAACAAGCACAGCAAACCTAAAGCTATTTAAAAATTAGCATTTAAAAATTGCACTGTATTTTTCATAAAATTAATCTTAATAAACCTCTTAATATAGCAGGTTTTGGTTCATGTGAACAGCATCTGTGAAATGACTTAGACTAACAGTTTTCTTCCACTCTGTCCTTTATAGGTATGGCCTCACAGGTTACGGTCTACCCACCACATGTTTATCAACCCCAGACAAGTGCCTTTTGCAGAGTGAAGAAAATCGATCCCATCGGCTGTGTTTACCATGAGAAGTTCCCTCGCACTTACGTGATCGGTGTGAATCTAGGCATTGCGCACCCTACGGATATTATACCTTTATCGAGATTCGAAGCTTTGACTAGCGAGAAACCGTGCGCCGCGCAGGACTACTCAATACAGACTGAATCAGCTCCACAGGAGCTCCTCAGAAGGGCTTCCTCGCCATACAAGCGTGTGGCGTCGGAGGGTGACCTTCAGTATTTCGCCAGAGCGGCCGGGGCAGTTGAAGAAAGTGGAGACAGTGTCCAAAACAGCCAAAGTAGTAGTAAAAGTGGCGGCGCTCCAGAAAGGTCTGAGAGAAACGGTGGTTTGAATTTGGTCGACGGCACCAAACGATGTGGGTTTAAATGCAAAGGGGAGGAGCTTGAGAACGGCAAGAGCATCATGCAGATAGTAGAGGAGCATTCGACTCTACCTGCCATGTTGCAAACAAACGTCGGGAGCACGAACGCAGTAGGCGTTGCCCCGACCGAGCAGAACAGAACCGGGACGGGAGCCGTGAGCGGGACAGGTGACGGCGACTATCAGTTGGTCCAACACGAAGTGCTGTGCTCCATGAAGCACACCTATGAAGTGTTGGAGTTCTTGGGTCGTGGTACGTTCGGTCAGGTGGTCAAATGTTGGAAACGAGGCACCAATGAGATTGTGGCGGTGAAGATACTGAAGAACCACCCATCATATGCCCGTCAGGGCCAGATCGAGGTGAGCATTCTGGCCCGACTTAGCGGGGAGAACGCAGAGGAGCATAACCTGGTGCGAGCTTTTGAGTGTTTCCAGCATAGAAGCCACACCTGTCTGGTGTTCGAGATGCTGGAGCAGAACCTGTACGACTTCCTCAAACAAAACAAGTTCAGTCCCTTGCCGCTGAAGGTGATTAGGCCCGTGCTGCAACAGGTGGCCACGGCGCTGAGGAAGCTCAGAAGCTTGGGCCTGATCCATGCCGATCTTAAACCGGAGAACATTATGCTGGTAGATCCTGTGAGACAACCCTTCCGTGTGAAAGTGATTGACTTTGGCTCTGCCAGCCACGTCTCCAAAGCTGTGTGTTCGACATACCTGCAGTCTCGCTACTACAGGTAAGCAGTGTTTTTTTTCTCTCTAGTAGGTTTGCTACTTTGTCATGTTTCCGTTTAATCATAAATAGACTTTTGGTAAATGTTTCAGCTTGTGTTTGTATTTGTGGCAATTATGAAGATATAATTTATGGTGTTCGTTTTGAGGAAGTTGAACTGAGGAACGTTTACTTAAGCTGCACTTCCTGCCAGAACAATTATGTAATGCCATCTATAGCATTTGTCGAAGTTTGGCAAGCATTCTTTGTTCGATTGCAACTGCACTAACTGCCATGGAGCTACACCCATACTAACTTTATGTAACTCAAAACAAAAAACACACACAAAATAACACAACGCACAATTTTTTCTAATGGGGTCAGTCCTGACCGTGATGGCTGTACTTTGTGTCTCCATGTGGTTGGCAGTTCTTTAGGAAGAATGTGGTTTGCTAAAGTGATTCATGGGATGTGGAAGAACATTGAAATACTCTTTTATTAGAACATTCCAGATGTTTATGTTTTAAGTTCCATGTCAAGCTTAATTGTTTGTTTGTTTGTTTTTACTCCAGAAATCAGTTTTTTTACTCTTAATCTATAGAATATTGTCCCTTCCACTTAAATGTATCGTCACACTCATGTCATTCGGTAGAACACAAAAGTACACTACTTTTTTTATAGTTAGGGCTTTGGGGTCTGTACAATTTAATTTATTTTATTTTTTTGTTGAAAGAAATGCTTTTATTCACCAAGGATGCATTCCTCTGGTGCTCTTTGGTCATTTTTAGAATTTTATCTTCATTGGAATGGTACGAAACTTGGTAAAGGTTTTGGCATTTGCTGTGTGAACACAAAAAATAAATCATGGTCATAATTCAAACAGGTTAAATGGTCCTGAAAAAAACACTTGTACTCTTCGTGATCAAAAATGACCGCATAGGAAATGAAAGGGAGACGAATTTCACCTCGTGAAAACTTTTGAAACTGCGGCCAAATAAAATCATACTGAAAGCAATTTTTTGAGATAACGGGCTCAAATTTTGAACACAACTTGTTTAGATTTATGGCTTTGATTTTCTCACAGTTTTAGAGTAAAACATGTTTTTGAAAATATATATTTCATATAAAAATTTAAAATAGTATTTTTGCATATTTTTCATTACAATAAACGTAACTTTTTTAAAACTTTTTTCACTTCAGCAATAATCTGCCAAGTGTCATCTTTGAAAAGAGATCCAACTTAAGTCTGTGCTCTAAAGCATTCAAGATTTACGACAATTTAAATTGGAAATTTAGACCTTAAATTTGAAATTTTTAGGTCTATGCTCAAAAAGTGAGTAAATGGATTATAAATACAGCATACAATTTAGTACCATAAAATCCCCTAAAAATGCAATATATACTGAACTAAAATATAGTACAGTAATTTTAATTGAAATTTAAAAAAAAAGCGTAATTTTTGACCGACACGTGAAGAGGACCAGAGGGTTAAACGTGACAAAGACATAGTTACAGAAAATTTCAAATAAATGCTGTTCTTTTGAACTTTTTATTCATTAAAGAATCCTGAAAAATTACACTTTTCCCACAGAAATGTTAAGCATCACCGCTGTTTTCAACTAGGCCTAATACATGTTTATTGAGCAGCAAATCAACATTTATAATGGTTTCTGAAGAATTTTGTGACCTGAAGACTGGAGCAATGATGCTGAAAATTCAGCTTTGCCATCAAAGGAATAAATGACATTTTACAATATATTCAAATTAAATAAGTTATTTTAAACTGCTATTCATATTTCCATTTTTACTGTATTTTTGATCAAATAAATGCAGCCTTGTTGAGCATATTAGTCTTCTTTCAAAAATGTCTTTAAAATTGTACAGACCCCAAACTTTTGAATGGTTAGTATTTTGAAGCATTGAAGTATTTTGCAGGTTTAGAATTTTTATTTTTGGGTAATCTATCCCTTCAAGAACTGTTGTGCCACTGAAAGGTATACAAATGAGTTTCGAACATAATGTGACATTGCGGTGAGTACAGTCTGTCTTTGTAAATGTGCTTGGTTTGTGGGCAAGCTATCAGTGAACAAGATAAAGAGGATATAGGTGCTAGTTTAAATAGGGCATTTGAACTCTTTGTACTTTGGCACTGCCACAGTTCGATGCTTGCAACTGCATGAACTCCCGCCCCATGCAGGTGGCACGTGTGAATGTATCGCTTTTGCATGGGAATGAGATGCATTGAGGATGTGTCTGTTGGTAGTGCTGTCTTTGTGCTCAAAAGAAGTGTGTGGTAACAGATGTTTTTATAAAACGTTATGAATAATCATTCACTCTAGCTTGTTTTTCTTTTTCCGGGAATTTGTACGTCTCTTTATATAGTGTTCGTATTAAATCATCACATAAGGACTGAGTAATTCTAATGAACAAAATGTACTTAATGTGCAATTATTTTGAGTGGTATATAATTGCACATTTTACTGTTGTAATGAAGTCATATTTTTAACATGAGCATTGTAATATAAAGTGTTAACTTTGACATCTTCCTCTTCTCTTTGTTGTGCTTTTGTTTTATAAAGTGCACATTTTGTTCTAAAACAAACACTTGAAGTGCTTATGATTACTTAAACTGAATCAGTGTTTAAGTATTTTGTTACAGCTAATTTCTTTTAGTTATTGCATCAAATTTGAAAGATTATTATGTATTATTATAAAGTCTTTGCATGCCTGATAAAAGCCCCATGTTGTGGATGGATCTACATCTGTGTTCAGAACGTGTGAATCCCAAAGTGGGGGGAAAAGGGCAGCATGTGCTTCTGTTTTCCATTTGTCCCCTGTTTCTGTCGGCATGATCGATGTTGTAAGGATCCATAGCTTGTTCCCAGTGCAAAACTGGCTCACCTAAATTTAGGGCGGATCTTGTTGTTCATTGCTACTGTGGTATGTGAGGTCGTCATGACAAGTATTTATTTTTTGTACTTGGAGCTGGCTGCGTTGAGCACGTACCCATGTGCCAGGAAGTGAAATTTTGCAGGTGTTGTCAAATAGCAGAGCTGTTTTTATATTTCACGCAGTTTTAGAACTGGTGCCGGTTTGTTTGTCACATTTAAGGGATAGTTTAGTTTACCCTTTTTTATTAATAGAAGAGTCATGTTTTGAGAAGAATCTTAAATAATTTAGTTTAGACTGTTTTTGTACCATGATGCAATTCTTAGGCCTATGTTTTCAGTTCAGTAGGCACAGAAGTATCTTTTTTGCATTCTCATTAAACAGTTTAAGTTGTTTTGGTTTGTAATAAGGCTCACTTTTCTTCCTGCTTATTGAAAGAATGTCAATTTATCTAGACATTAGTCGATAAGTTTGTCACTGGATTAGGTAATTAAACTCAGTAGTATGCTACTGGTGATTAAATTAAACAAGGTGATAAGTTAAACCAGTCAAAATTAAAGTTTAGCTGAAAACTAAAACCGAAAAATAAAATTTCAGTATAAGGCTGCACTATTATGACAAAAATGATAGTTGTCGATAATTCCCTTGAAATTGTTATTGCGATTATTAATTACGATTATCACAGATTATCACAATTTACATTTAATGATGTTTTTAATAGCTTTATACCATTGTTTGAAGCAACTGCATGCCACATTTTTATATAAAAATAAAAAGCAAGCTGAAAACACTCTTCCTGAAAAGCTTTTATTGCTTTAAACCTCAAATGTCAACTAGGCCTATACACTGGTTTGGTTTCTTTAAGTAAAAATATGCATGGTATAATAATAGGGGCTTACACTAAGTTTTAGGAACTTAGGGTGGTTTCCCCGAGACCTAATGTTCCCCTATGTTTTCCTGGTTGCATTCGCACTAGGGATGTGACGGTGAGGATATTTTCCCACCGGTTAATTGACGTGTGGCAACACCGGTAATACTGGTATCACCGGCGGGGGCTTTTAAATCGGCCACACGAGATGTAAACTGAAAACGCTCGCTCCGTTCTGCTCGCTCCGCTCCCATTAACTCGTGGCCGAGCACATTTTAGTTTCGTTTTTAAATTAGCGCCAATTCGGGGTGGATTACTTGAATGGTTAGTTCATTAGCCTATGATTCTTAATGAAAAACACAACAAAACAGTGCAATGACAAATTCGCTTAAATAGGCGCTTTTACATTTCGCTTTGACACCAAATATTCCGCAGTCACCTTGTCAGTCAGCTCCTCACTCTCGTGATGAATGAAACCTGACGCCTGTTGCAGATCTGTGCGGCGACTCTCGTTCAGCTCACGATTTATTAAGCAGACATGTTCAGTTTAATAGTGTCTGTTCTCTAACTCACTGAACTAAATGATTTTATATAAAAAAAAAAAATCAAATCGACAGTGGGGGGTGGTGCCGCGGTGGGCAAGTGATGTGACTGGTGTTGCTTCTGAACACCGGTAACACCGACTATCGTAGCAAGCCTAATTCGCACCACAAGTAAAAAATTTGCCAGTAAAAAAGAACTAAAATTCTTATTTTATTGCAACAGAACGCTTTTTTTGTTGCGAACATTTTGGCGCATCACTACTACTGGATAATGTTGCAGAAAATGTCATGAATTAATAGTTGTAATAGTGGTATCCCTAGTCTGGTAACATACCAGTGGCTCTTTGCTAAAATAATCACTGTGGCCCTATTAATAATTCATTGTGTTACTTAGATCAGCGTGTGTTGGGTTCCACAAAGTGAGGTACTTGCTTGAGTTTCAAGTTGCTACAGGAATTGGTCATTAGGTGCCATGGTTTATTGTTTCTTATGGCCTCCTAAAGTGACTCATCCTGTTGTTTCCTTGACACTCATACTGTCTTTGTTCTGCAAAAAAAAGTGGTTTGAAGTGTCCAATACTGGCCTTTCCATGTCTAATTGTAAGTTTCCATTTTCTGGTTAGCCTAACTTTTCTCTTTCTCTCACAGATTGTAGGAGATTGTCACAAATCATGCCCTGGAGGAGGCAATGCGCTTTTGTGATGCTCAGAGAAAGCCCTTAATTCTA